GTGAATAGCTATATTATACGGAATTAAAAATATTATAACGAATTAGCAATAAGTCACCAATTGTTATCTTTAGATGGTTACACAATCACGTCAGTTTAATCCTACGTTTGAATACTTCAAATTATATAAGCAATAAATAAAGATGTAAATCAATACACGATATGATCATGGAGAAACCTAATTGGGAAAAACTCCGAACACTTTGCCAGTTAACAATTCACTATAAACGATTTGAACAATTATAGTCTATCAGACTATACGACTCGTACTATCTGATCACTCGACTGCACTCCCTATAGCTCTTCTTGGATCTCTGCACCAATCCTTAGCTGCTGTTGCCAAAACTCTCCGTGGAATATGCTACCCCACAATACTCCTATCGTTGTGGAATCATCTATTTCCTGTAGATCAACGAAGAACACAGCGTTCTTCTCAGACTGGTACTCCAGTCGAACTTTCTCAATCTTCAGAACTCTGATCAGATATAGATGAAATACAATTTGGTATTTGGATTATAGAAACGATATTTTTCTCACCAAAACAACCAAAGTAGATAAATATTGAAAGAAATAATTGAATCAATCTCTCACATATGTAGCTTTCTCAATGCTCAACCTCATCGATTTTATATAGAAGTGTTTTGGTATATAGGTAGGTTAGAAAAATGAATGGGATAGGGAAAAATTATTTAAATCGCGAAATAAAAATTTTCCATGATAAACCCGTCGCTCGAGCGAGGGCTCAGCGACAGTTGAGCGATAGACTGTCGCTCGAGCGAAGTGGTGGCCACAGTCTAGCAACAATGTTTCTGCTTTTGTAGCTCGAGCCAAACCTTGGCAATAGTCTAGCGAAAATTCGTGCCGTTTTCCTCTTTTTGCCATTCTCAAACCCTAGACCTAATAACTTTATTTTCAACTATTTGCACATTACTTCTTGACTTTTTAAATATAGTACAATTCAGTTTTTTTGTTTACAGAATCACCAATTACAAAACATTGAAAGCCTAACATGATCTACTTAATATCATATTAACATTGTAGTTAACAGTATATAGCAATCTTTTTACGGCTACATGGGATGTATGATGAATTATATGAGGGCAATGATCTAACAAGGAATTAGAGCTTTTTTAGCAGAGCCTCGAAAGAGTGAAAACTCACTATCGTCACATTTCATCATTTGTTGTCATCCAAACTAATAGAAATTGCTTAGTTGATAGCTACTCATTAACTCATCTTTCTCAATATCGCTTCATGGCACTCTGAAGGCTGAAAGCTAAAGGTTTCTTCATATCGTATATCATTTAGTAGTGCAAGTTGTAGTTATTATTGCGAACATCCCACACACTCAAGGATTACAAAATTTCCTACTCCAACCTACCCCGCATTGCTCATACCGAGTGGTAAACTGGATGGGAACGAAGCATGGTCCCCATTTTTTCAAACTATAGTCAAATCTTTTTTTATTTTATATTTGTATTTTTCACTTTAAAGTATATTTAAAAAGTAAAAAATAATATTCAAAAAATATTAATTAAAAGAGATGGTAACTAAGGATTTTTTATTCACTATCCAGCCTCCTGAAAATTCTCGACCGAGGTAAGGGCCGCCCTATCTCTGTCCTGCCCCTTTTTTATCATGACATACATTCCTTCCAAATCTACGGACCATAGGGTTGAGTATCTCTTTATTTGAGTTTTTCTATTTCCTTTTAAAAAGTGTGTAAGTGTGGGTATTTTCAACACTTCATGACGTGACATTATGATTAGTTGACAAGCTATG